CTCCATCCACACACATGAGGTGTGTGTGAATGGAGCTACTGCTGCTTAGCAACAGTAGATGAATTGTCGCTAAAAAATGCTTTTCTATGAGACAGGCAGAAGGAGCAGAGTGATTCAGCTCTGGTGGTCCCATCTACACAGTGTCACTTTGCCATGCACTTTTTCTGAAAGAGAGTGAGAGAGCTTAGCCGTAGCACAAATTCTCAGGGAGAGCCTGCCTGCAGTCTGGAGCTGGAAGCGCTCTATTAGAAGAGGGGGTTTGTGTGGTGAAGGCCCCTGAGCTAGGAGGGAAGGGATTGGTGTGGAGAGGCCCTGGACTAGGATGAGGGAGTTGATGCAGAGAAGCTCTGGACAGGGAAGAGGGGGTTGGTGTGGAGAGGACTAGGAAGAAGAACGTGTGGGGAGGCCCTAGACTAGGAAGGAGGGGAGTCTGTGAAGAGGCCCTAGATTAGGAGAGGAGGGAGAGGAATGAAGTCCCTGGAAAAGGAGAGGGGGTGTGGAGCAGAGATCCTGAGCTAGGAAAAAAAGCTCGTGAAGGCCCTGGACTAGGTGAAAAAGTAGCTAGAAACCCCTGATTAGGAGAGGGGGTTGCATGCAGGCACTGGTCTAGGAGAGGAGGTGCCTGGAGGCTCCAGAATAGGTGAAGGGGTATCCGGAGGCCCCAGACTAGGAGAGAGGGTGTCTGCAGGTTATGGACTAGGAGAGGGGGTGCCTGCATGCAAGATACTGGAGGCCCTGGACTAGGATAGGGGTGCCTGGAGGCCCAAGGCTAAAAGAGAGGGTGCCTGGAGGCCACAGACTAGGAAAGGGTGTGTCTACAGGCCTTGGACTATTAGAAGGAGTGCTTAGATTTCCTGAACAAGGAGAGCGGTGCCTGGATGCCCTGGACTAGGATATGTTGTGCCTAGAGGCCCTGAACTAGGAGGGGGGTTGCATGGGGTCTTGAACTAGGAGAGGAGGGTCTGTAGGCCCTCTAGGAAAAGGGGTGCCTGAAGGCCCTGGACTAGGATCGTGGGTGCCTGGAGGCCCTGGACTTAGAGAGGGGGAGTGTGGATGCTCTGGACAAGGAGAGGGGTGCCTGGAGGACACAGACTAGGTTAGGGGATGTCTGGAGCCTCATGACTATGAGAAGAGTGCATGGAGACCCAGGACTAGGAGAATGGATGCCTGAAGGTCATGGATTTGGAAAGGGTGTTTCTGCAGGCCCTGGACTAGGAAAGGGGATGCCTAGAGTTGCCAGACTAGGAGAGAGGATGCCTGGAGGCCCCAGACCCGTTGAAGGGGTGCCTGCAGGCCCCATACTAGGTGAAGGCGGGTCTAAAGGCCCCAAACTTGAAGAGGGGTACTGAAGGCCCTGGATTATAAGAGGGGGCTCTTAAGGCCCTGGACTAGGAGAGGGGGTGCCTGGAGACCCAAGACTGAGAGGGGTACATGGAGGCCCTGGACTTGGGGAGGGGGTGCCTGAAGGCCCTCTAGGAGTAGGGGTGCAGGAAGGCCCTGGAGTAGAAGAGGGGGTGCCTGGAGACATTGGACTAGGACAGTGGATGTCTGAGGTCCTGTAGTAAGAGAAGGAAAGTGTGGAGACTCTGGACTAGTTGAGGGGTGCCTGGAGTCCCATGAGTAGAAGAAGGAGTGCCCGTAGGTCCCAGACTAGGAGAGGAGATTCCAGGAGGCCCTGGACTAGGTGAGGGGTTTCCTGGAGACCCTGGACTAAAAGAGGGGGAGTATGTAGGTCCTGGGCTGGTATAGAGGGTATCTGGAAGCCCTAGACTAGGTGAGGGGCTGCCTGGAGGCCCCAGACTAGGATATGGCTTGCCCTGGACTAAGAGGGGGGATATGGAGGCCCTGGGCTAGGAAAAGGGTACCTGGAGGCCAGAGATTAAGTGAGGGAGTGTCTGGAGCCCGTGAACAAGGATAAGTGTGCCTGCCAGCCCTGAACTAGGAGCGGGGGTGCCTGGAGGTCACAGACTAGGAAAGGGTGTGTCTGCAGGCCCTGCACTATGACATGACACTGTGCCTAGAGGTCCTAGATTATGAGAGGGGGTGCCTGCAGGCACTGGACTAAGTAAGGGGGTGCCTGGAGACCCAAGACTAGGAGAGGGGTGCCTGAAGGTCCTGGATTTAGGGGATGGGGTACCTGAAGGCCCTGGACTAGCTGAGGGGGGTTCGTGGAGACCCTGGACTAAAAGGGGGGGGGCATTAAGGCTCTGCAAGTAAAAACAGGTTACCTGAAAAGTGTTAGATTAGGTGAGGGGGTGCCTGGAGGCCCTGAACTAGAAGACGTGGTGGCTGGAGGCCCCAGACTAGGAGATGGCATACATGGAGGCTCTGAACTAGGAGAGAAAGTGCCTGAAGGCTCTGGTATAGAAGAGGAGGGGCCTGGGGGCCCTGCTGGATTCAGGGAGAAAGAGCCTGGATTGAGGAACAGTCTGCCTGGGCCCTGGAGGGTGAGCCTAGAGTTGGTGAGTTCACAACTTACATGGGCATTTTTATCAATTGTCACAGGTAATGCCAAACAGGAGCAGAGAGGTTGTATGAAAGATTAAATACCTGATTTCTCCTTCATGCTATCTGACCCACGTGACAATTAGTCCATGTTCACATGGGGCAAATACATTCATGCCCTGTGTGAGAGCCATTTTTAGATGCACAGGAATCCACAGGCATTCTGTGCATCTCTGTGCGGGCAGTCAGATTGGATGAAGTGTTTGCACAGACACAGCTGCTGCTCGCAATGTAACATCTGTACGGATGCACCCTAAATGCACCCAGGGTTTGACAACACTTAAAATTTGACCACACTCATATTTTCCTTCTACCATTTTTGACGGAGTGTAAAAAAATTACGGCCCTGGGTGCCAGATGTGCTAGGTACATGATGCTAGTGGGGCCTGCTAGGTGCAAGAGGGAGAATCCATATCACATGAAAAGAAAGACTGCTATAAAAATATTCAAAGCTGAACTTGAGTCAAACAAATGAACTATACATATGAGAGTTGTTTTACCTGCCCAAGAATGTGTGTTTTTGTCCATCCAGTTTTGAAATTTACCCAGGCCCTGCCACGCAGCAGTGCCTTTTCCTGCAGGTGTGGGGACCTAGTCTTTATCTACTGCAACTCCACTTTCACTTACAGGTATCCTCACTGCCCTCAGTCTGTAAACGGGCAAGTCAAAAGAGAAACAGCAGACTGATGAGCTTTGCTTTCTCCTTCTGTCATTATGCTCCTTGCATGGCTGCACACCTGACAGGCACCTTGTGCTGCTCTCATGTACTGTAGACTGCAAGAGGCTGATGCCAAGTCAAATTCAGGTACTTGCTTTGAAAAAAAAATCTATTTATGAGGCATTAAAGGATAAGTTCACTTTTAAAACATGTACAGTTGCAAGAAAAAGTATGTGAACCCTTTGGGATCACGTGGAGTTTTGCATGAATTGGGCATAAAATGTGCTCTGAACGTCATCTAAGTCACAACAATAGAAGAACACAGTCTGCTGAACATAATACTACACAAACATTAGATGTTGCCATGGTTTAATTGCACATAACATGTAAACATTCACAGTGCAGGGAGGAAAAAGTATGTGAGGCCCTAGCTTAATGACTTCTCCCAGAGCTAATTGGAGCCAGGAGTGAGCCAACCTTGACTCCAATCAGTGTGATGATATTGGATGTGTTGCTGACAGCTGTCCTGCCCTTAAAAAACACACACCTGTTTTGGGTTTACTGGTTTCAAGAAGCACTGTCTGATGTGAACCATGCCTCACAGAAAAGAGCTCTCAGAAGACCTATGATCAAGAATTGTTGACTTGCATGAAGCTGGAAAGGGTTACAAAAGTATCTCCAAAAGCCTTGATGTTCATGTGCCCACGGTAAGACAGACTGTCTACAAATGGAGAAAGTTTTAGCACTGTTGCTACTCTCCCTAGGTGTGGTCGTCCTGTAAAAATGACTTCAAGAGCACAGCGCAGAATGCTGCATGAGGTAAAGAAGAATCCCAGAGTGTCAGCTAAAGACCTACAGAAATCTCTGGCACATGCTAACATTTTTGTTGACACATCTACAATAAGGAAAACATTAAGCAAAAATGGAGTACATGGGAGGACACCACGGAGGAAGCCATTGCTGTCCAAAAAGAATATTGCAGCACATTTGACGTTTGCAAAAGAGCACCTGGATGTTCCACAGCACTACTGGCAAAATATACTGTGGACAGATGAAACCAAGATTGAGTTGTTTGGGAAGAACACACAACACTATGTGTGGAGAAAAAAAGGCACAGCACACCAACATCAAAACCTCATCCCCACTGTAAAACATGGCGGAGGGAGCATCATGGTTTGGGGCTGCTTTGCTGCCTCAGGGCCTGGACGAATTGTTGTCATTGATGGGAAAATGAATTCCAGAGTTTATCAAGACATTTTGCAGGAAAACGTACGACCATCTGTCCGCCAACTGAAGCTCCGCAGAGGATGGGTGATGCAACAGGACAATGACCCAAAGCATACAAGTAATTCAACAAAACAATGGCTGCAACAGCACAGAATACGCCTTCTGGAGTGGCCCAGTCAGAGTCCTGACCTCCATGCTGTGGCATGACCTTAAGAGAGCGATTCACAGCAGACATCCCAAGAATATTGCTACACTGAAACAGTTTTGTGAAGAGGAGTGGTCCAAAATTACTCCAGATTGTTGTGCAGGTCTGATCTGCAACTACAGGAAACGTTTGGTTGAGGTTATTGCTGCCAAAGGAGGGTCAACCAGTTATTAAGTCCAAAGGTTCACATACTTTTTCCTCCCTGCACTGTGAATGTTTACATGTTATGTGCAATTAAACCATGGCAACATCTAATGTTTGTGTAGTATTATGTTCAGCAGACTGTGTTCTTCTATTGTTGTGACTTAGATGACGTTCAGAGCACATTTTATGCCCAATTCATGAAAAACTCCACGTGATCCCAAGGGGTTCACATACTTTTTCTTGCAACTGTAACACCTGCAGTTAGGGTGTAATGTGTAATGTGTTCCAGGACCCAGGAACGGACTGACAACTCATGGGGCCCCCAGGCAATAGGGGATCATGGGGCCCCTGTGTCCATGCCCAAACTCAAAAAAGCCTATGAAAAAAGGTACCAGGGGATCATGGGGCCCCCTACTGACCCCGGGCCCTCGGGCAGTGCCCAAGTTTCCAAATGGTCAGTCCGCCCCTGTCAGCACCCCACAACTCTTTGAATCCCCCCTTTCCTGAGAGAGTGAATGAGGATTATTCCCCCCCTCCTCAGTCACTGTCATATTTAAAATCAGCATGGCTGTGTATGGTTCATTCATTAACAAGAAATGCATAAACTACAAGTCCTATCTTCCACTGTGGCAAACGGTTTGTAGTTCTCGGTGGACTACGAGTTTGCTGATCAGCGCACTTGTAGTCCATTGACACTTCCTCCAGCTTTCTAACTGAAAGTCCGTATGGAAATACAAGCAGAAAGATGAAAGATATATTTGCAGGAGCCTGACATTGCACCAGCAATCAACTGCTCGTGGGCACAATGCTTTTCAGGCTCCATGGGGAAATATAAAAAATGCACATTTATTTCTTGCAAAATATGTGCATTTATTTATTTTTTCCTTAAAGGTAAGCAAAGCCTTTAATGATCACAGAGCTGTATTAATGTGTGCCTTTTATATCTGCCTCCAGTTCAGCTTTAAAAAGATTGCTCCAGAGAAACAAAGATCTTCTCCTAGTCTGGGATAACTTCAGACATCATTATATGACCTGTGATTTTACTTTCAGAAGATGGATGCAAGTGTTAGGGGAACAGAATGCTTCGCTTCAAAGCTCTGCAAGTCAGTAACATCATACTTCACCATCACTGAACACATCGAGCCTTTCAGCATCCTCCCCTCCTCCCACCTATACAGCTATGTCTGTACTTGCACCCTTTCATACATACACATATATCTCACTATTTTTTTGTGCAACTTCAGGTGTATTTAGTAAGGCTATGCAAAGTAATTAAAACAGACAGTTTAAATTTATTTTCCTGCAATTTCATGAAATAAGAAATATTTCTGATTGGTAGATATGTGTTTCATCTCTACCTTTGTCTCTAAGTCATCTGTTTTGAACAATGCAGCTTTCACAAAGTCCACTAACCAATAGCAACTAATCAGACTGTTATTATTATTATGCAGAATTTATATAGTGACAATAGTTTATGGTTTTAATTGTTATAAATAATATAAACCCCATGTTTGTGTTCTTTGCATTGGTTAAGTTAGTCCCATAGGATGTATTGCCCTAGCCATATAGCCTCATACATACTGTATCTACTGAGTTAGTTGATGTTTTGCGGTATTTACGTGAAATCATTCTTTCTGATTTATTTGGCTACAACATGCCTTTAAGCAAGCATGATTTTTCTAAAGAGCACATTGCTGACAAAATTTTAGCTCAAGGTTCTGCATTTTTTTCATATATCTTATTTATAAGAAAAGAGAAGAAAAAAAAATACATTGGCACTTTCCCAGAGAACAGAAGCAATAAAAAGAACTTCAGTGATCAGAACAAAATGTCATATCTACATTTTCCATGCCATTTTGTGTCTGAATAATTGATGATTTTTAATTGGCTGTCATGTTTCTAAGCTCTTTATTTAAAAGTTTTTCAATTCAAGACACATGCATACACATTTTGTATTGTATGGTTTGACTTTTTAGCCGAACTTTGCAGCCCTTTGAGTTTATGGAACATTTGGTTAGGTAATTATTTGGTTCTTGCTAGGTTGGCATTTGCTCCCTCTTGGAGTACCTTTTGTTCTCATCATAAAATAGACACTAAGGAACTGCTGCCTTCTATTCACTGATGTTCATAAAACCTTATGCAACATCTTTGCTGTTTCATTAAAATAAGGAACATTTTTTTATGCAATTTTTTCCACATCTTTCCAAGACAGGTGTTATAACAGATACTGATTATTTTAGCCTGGTTTGCTAAAGCTGAAGGTTCCATCCATGGGCTGGTGATTGCCAATGTCCAAATATGCTCTTCTCTGTATTTCTTTAAAAAAATACTTGCAATTTATTTTATTTATTACAGGTACTTGTATAGCGCCATCAATTTACACAGCACTTTTACATATATATTATACATTCACATCAGTCCCTAACCCTCAATGGGTGTACAATCTAAGGTCCCTAACTTACATTCATACATACACATAATAGGACCAATTTAGACAGGATCTAATTAACCTACCGGCATGTCTTTGGAGTGTGGGAGGAAACCGGAGGAAACCCACGTAGGCACAGGGAGAACATGCAAACTCCAGGCAGGTGGTGCCGTGGCCGGGATTCGAACCAACGACCCTAGGACTGCCAGGCGGAAGTGCTAACCATTTAGCCACTGTGCTGCCCATAGCCACTGTGCTGTCCATGCATACACGTGGTTATATAACTTTGGTAATAACTGCTAAGGACATATTTACTGATCACTAAAAACCCATCGACATTTCTAGATCCAATGTTTGCTTCCTAGAACCAGACAAACCAGATTTGGAAAATTGATATTTCTAAAAATATATATTTTTTAATTGTACTATGCCGTATTTTGCAAACAATTTTAGACATGTAAATTGTCATTCAAGTGACTTCAAAATATACTAACAACTCAAGTATAACTTTACTGTTTTTTTTTGGCTCATGATGAATTGTAAAGTGCAGTAAGTGACAGTGGAAAGGGACTTTCTATTTTTGTATACAGCCATACACTGTACTTATGTTTAAAATAGCATCCCTGTATATATGGGTACAGCAGGACACAGCCATTTATATCATTAGGAGGCTTTACACTGCACATGGGCTGCTGAACAGAGGGAATACACCGGCAGTTAGGGCCCTAATAGTCCCTGTGCATGAACCCTAACAGAAAGACCTCTGCAATCCTCTCTCCCCCCTTTCCCCTACCCTTCCTTCTAGCTTACACTCTAGAATAAGAAACAGTAAGTCCTTTAGACTGTAAGGGAGTTACTATGCACATCCCCTAATTGGTTATTAATTAGGTAATTTCCCTAATTAATTCAAGACTTGATTAACTGATATTGTTTAACCATTGAACTATTTGAATTTCTATCAATATAATTTTTTCTTTTTTTCAAATTTAAACAATCTTGTATTTTTGATTATACTTCTGGGTATGCTGACTTCTCTAAAAACAGTCCTTTAGACTTCATGGTTCCTCCTTGTTTTTTTTCCATTTACGCCTCTCTGGAACAGCATAGCCAGTTCACCTGTTTTTTCTAGTAAGTGTCATATGTGTTATGTGTGTGTGTTTTTTTTGTTTTTGTTTTTATCTCTTCTTTAGACAGAAAAAATATACTTTGTCTTAATGCTGAGCTCTGATACAGATTATTTGGTGTATTGAATACTATGTCATTTTGTTATTGCTTTATTATAAACAAAATTTCTCTTTGATTAAAGACTAAGATAAGCGCATAATAGATGCATGTTCCTGGATATAGTCCTGAAGAAGCGGACAACCCACGAAACCCACGAGACATATAAGGACAAAACATTTTGTAACATATTTTCATGTTAAACTTATAAATGATTATGTAATATTTTTAACTTGTGTGCAATATAATCATTGTGAATTCTATATTTATCTGGCGGTTATTCTTAAAGTCCTTGTTTTATTTATTTAATTGTTCTGTAAAATCCCTTAACCACTTGCCCTGCAGAAGATTTACCATGCTTCCTGATCAGGCTATTTCTTGCAATACTGCACTGCATTACTTTAACTGACAATTGAGCAGTCATGGAATGCTACACAAAAAATTACATTTATTAAATTTTTTCCCACAAATAGAGTATTTGATCACCTCTGCGTTTTTCATTTTTTACACCATAAACTAAAAAAGAGTGACAATTTTGAAAAAAAAAAACAATATTTTTGACTTTTTGCTATAAAACATATCCAGTAAAAAAATAAACAAATACAGTTTCTTCATAAATTAGGCCAGAATGTATTCTATAAAATCTGAATAAGTGTATAATAATTGGTTTATGTGAAAGTTATAGCATCTGCAAATGGAGGTAAATATACTGGAATTTTTTAAATTTTATTTTTTTTTATACTAGTACTGGCAGCTATCTGCAACATATAGTCGGACTGCAGGACTGCGGGACTGCGGCGGGCATTCTGACAATGGATGGGAACTGACTAACTGCCACTGACAACCCATGTGACACTAACACAATGATCAGTGCTAATCAAAAGCATTGACATTGTACTAATGACACTAAGCAGGAAGGGGGTAATATCTTGGGTGATCAAAGGGTTAACTGTGTGCTGTGTGTGTTTTACATTGTGTGGTGTGTGATCTTAACCTTGGAGACATGCTGCTGTGCAGAGAGATATAAAGCAACATGTCCATATTGACAGCAGAGAGACCTGTGTTGTTTACACACAGGCCTCTCCCCTGTCAGCTTTGTGTGCTCCCCCTACCTGGGAATGCAAATCGTGTATATATACATGCTTTTGCACCGCTGTGCCACCCTGTAGCAGTACTTCTGCTATAGAGCGGATGGCAAGTGGTTAAACTTTCAGGACTTATTAACTGATTTTTTAAACTGTTGAACTATTTGAATTTCTATCAATATCAATGTTTTTCTCTTTATTTAAAAGTTTCAAACAATCTTATATTTTTTATTATACTTACGGGTATGCTGACCTCTCTTCTATAGCACTTAAAGTAGGAAAATCTTGTGATTTGTGTACCTCTGTAATGTCAAACTGTAAAGCTAGGCAGATGAAGCACATATTTACTGGTTTACCAGCGCAGCTTCCTATATCACCTCTTCACCTCCACTGCAGCTGGACAATAAATAAGCATCTTCATCAATGAGCTGGGAGTTGACCCCAGTCAACCTGTTACAGTAATATATGTATTTGAATTATTTCATTTAAATGTTTGCCTGGCGCTCTGCTTCATTGTGATGTTAGGAAGATAAAAGTTTGAGAAAGTATCTGTCTATATTTTTCCTATTCGTGAATATTCCATAAACCCTACAGTTATATTGAATGATGTGCTTGTTAATATTCACATTACCTATTGTAATAAGAATCTGATTGGAGCAGGCTCAGATGACATTTTCCCTCATTTAAAATCACAGTTTTGGCAGTATGTGCACATTCACACTTTACTGTGCTCACCTGTGAACAGCTAGGTAATGTTGCCAATGGCTTCCATTCAACACAAGCGTTTGCATGCCAATGTGCAATTCTAAAAACATTGCTATGTTGAAATCAATAGAATGTGCAATGGGGAAAAAACAATTCACTGCAGACCTAAAAATCAAGAAGGCTAAAAATGCATTTATATCCATCACTCTGTGCTTTATTATTACTACTTGTCAGGAAGATTGTGGCCATCCCCAAAGATCTTCTCTTGCATGCATTGCAGCTCATGAACCAACACATAGAATCAGGGCTGTGTGTACATCTGCGTGTGTGAATTAGCATGCACATCCACACTGACTTTTGGCACACGGTGGCCTATTTAAGGCATAGCAGAGCTAGGGAGAATTGCTAAGTGGTTGTCAGCTTCAGTGACTAGTGACCAGACCTGCATCCTGATTATCCTGTGTATTGACCCAGCTTGCATCCTGACTGCTTGATCCTGATCTCCTGTTGCTGAGTTTGGATTGTGTTCTGACTCCATTCCCTGCCTGCTATTTTTGTACTTCTACTGCTCATATGATATTGAGCCTGGCTTGGCTTCTGACCCCGCTCCTGCCTTATGAATTGGTACCTCTTCTGCCCTGTTGTTGCTGACTCAGGTTCATTTTGACTACAGCTTTGATTCTACATCTGCTAGTTCTTGTTCTTGATCTCTGTGACAGCATTCAGCACAAGTTCCATTTTAGTATCCAAGGTGTTCCAAGGTGTAACCTAACTGTCACCTGAGCTCATAGTGTCAGGAGTCACCACAGCCACCTGTGCCACTCCTCATCTCACCTACCAAACTCCCAGGGCATATATTGCACAGGAGATGTTAGGGAAGCCCCCTTGCCAGCTTGGCCTCTACCAGGTATGTCCCACTACTACTATTATATATATATATATTTAGTAAGGAGGAGAAAAAAATGAGAGGTCTCATTTCCCAGAGATTTCAGCAAAAATCAAATTTTGGCAAAAATTAGTATTTTGAGGAAATGCAATGGAGTCAAGGGAGAAGGTGAAATTAAGGCGGTTTTGTTTTTAAGAATGATACAGGTTTTCAATGCCCCCCTAAGAGTTACAGAAGCTCCATTAAACTATCATAGACCTGCTATTTTGTAAAAAAAAAACAATTAGCCTTTATTAGTCTCATTATTTTAGTTTAAAAAACAGTGAAAACAAGAAGAATTAAAATCTAACACTAATAATGATCAAATACATGAATAAAGGGAAAAAAAACAAATATTATTATTATTATGCAGGATTTATATAGCGCCAACAGTTTGCGCAGCGCTTTACAAAATGAAGGTAGACATTGCAGTTACAATACAATTTGGTACAAGATAAAGAATATCAAAATAAACAATTTGACCTAAAAAAGCATACCTCTAAATAAAGAGCAAATTTTCCTTCAGTAGCTCAGTGAGTGAAGTTGAAGTTTCTGCTTCCACAAAAATTTGCCATCAATGAAATCAGTAATTTTGTGGCAAAATCATGTTGTTCGAAAAAAATGTTGACATACTTCATTTATGGCATACCGATAAGTGACTATGCTTTGAGAACACGAAGTTGACTAGCCACTAAGTCAAATTCTTACTTTGTTTCCTTTTTTGGTTACATTTTCATTTTGACAGATCAATTAATTTAGTATGTTGTAACATTAATTTCATTTATTCATTTCATATCTAATTTTTGTTTACTATTTTATTTTTTACATTTAGAATATCCATATTTGAGCCTTTTATCCTCAGCTTTCTACATTTTTTCTTTCTACTGTTTTTGATTTTTAACTTTCCACACTTTTGTTTTCTTAGTTTCCTTATATTTTCTTAAATACTTGCTTAGCTTTTCTCTTTTTATTCATTATTTTCTC